TTCGCGTAAGACCTTTCAGGTGCTTGCGACGGGCTCTTGTAGAATTCAAGCCACGGGGCGCAGCTTGGGAATTTAGGGACTTCTGATCCTGAACTTCAGACCTCCAGCTAGTGGTTTGAAGGCGCAGGGAGAGGGAGAGCACCTACCCGCACTTATAAGAGCCGTTGCCGTGTTGGTCTTGTTTCATCTGACATTCCCAGCTGGAATTCATCGGCCCGGCGAAAGCAACCCAGCATTTGCGGATATTGTGGCTGGAAGGAAATGTCACATGATCAAACCAATACCAACGGTCAATATTAATATAATTTTGAATCAATCTATCAACGATATATTTGGAGACTTTTTGTATCCGGCGGCTTGTTACCTCAATCTTCCAGCCAAGAGCGACTGAAAACTAAACCATTCTATCACAGTCCACGCCGGATCACATAACGCCCATGCCTGTCCGGAAAAGTTGAAAAAAGAAAAAATAAAGGTGCTTCAACAACTCATGGCCTCGGCGGTCTCGCATTAGCCGCCGCAACGTAATGTCCCCAGGTAATCAACTCCTTTGAGCAGTCATCTTGGTGAATCGTACACTCGATGAGCGTCGGTCCGGCCTTGTGGCTGTCCGCAGCGCGAATTGCCTCCTCCAACTCGCCTGCAGTATTTACGCGGACACCCTTAGCTTGGCCGTCGGTGCCATTGAAGGCTTGCACCAGCAGGGCGTAGTCCCAGTTCTTGATCTTGTTGTAGCTGCCGTCGTGGATCTCCACCTCTATGGTGTAGCCCCTGTTGTTTATCAGGATAATGGTGATTGGCAAGTTGAACCGCACCATCTGGGCAACCTCCTGAGCAGTCACCTGAAACGAACCGTCTCCAATCAGGACAATGGTTCGCCGCTCAGGATACCGGAGTGCGTACCCGAACGCTGCAGGGATGGACCACCCAATGTGGCCCCACTGCATCTCAATCTCAAACTGAGCACCGGGTGGCAGCTTCAGCTGGATGCCGTTGAACCAGCTGTCACCCGTCTCAACAAACAGCGACGTTTTGGAGTCCAGCATGCCTTGCAGTTGTCGGGAAATCTCCTTGCGCGTAAGCTGGTCTCCGGAGGCCGCGCTATGAATCTGGGGAGGATCGGGTTTCAACCGACCATACTCCACCATGGTTGAGTTGTTGTATGTGACAGTTGTGGCAAGGTAGTTGAGGAACTCTGCTAAACGCACCCTACTGAAGTGGGCGCCCGGGTACGTTACATGGTCCATCTCGGCCGCCATCAAGGGAATGTCCGGCACAGCGGTCCACCCCACAGTGCTGTAATCGTTGAATACCGTGCCGACGCAGATCAAGGCGTCGGCCCAGTGCACGATGCTGTCAGCCGCATCCGTGCTGACTTGGCCCCAAAAGATGCCGACAAACTGTGGATGATCTTCAGGGAACATTCCCTTTGCCGCAGGCTGGAGCGCAACGGCACAGCCGAGAGCGTCTGCCAACTTGATGAGAGCTTCCTCGGCTTCGGGCCCTGCGCGTCGCAGCTTGGGGCCGACGAGGATCACAGGCTTGAGCTTGCCTGTGAGATAGTCAGCAGCACACTTGGCTGCAGCCTCTAGGGCGCTCTTGTCGCTAGCAACGGGTTCCGTGACGGCGCTGATGGGGCCGGGCCGAACGCAAGCTGCTCCCGCGAGGTTCGTTGGGATCTCGATGTAGCAGGGTTTCTTCGCCAAAAGAGCAGCGCGAATTGCGCGATCGATCAGCCTGGGCGCATCGGCGGCTCGCGGAACGGCGACGGCACAGCAGGTGACCTTTTTGGCCATCTCGAGCTGGTAGGTGTTGTCGTAACCTCCAAGGGTATGGTGCAGGACGTTGAACTGGCTGGCGTCGTTGGTATTTGGCCCGCCGCTGATGAGGATTAGGGGGAGGTTCTCCGAGTAGGCGCTGCCGGTGCCGTTGAAGGCCGAGATGGCGCCAACGCTGAAGGTGACGACGCATGCCGACACTCCATTGGCGCGGGCATAGCCCTCGGCGGCCATGGAACAGTTGAGCTCATTTGCGCAGCCAATTTCTTTCAAGTCGGGGTGAGCCTGCAGTTTGTCGAGGAGGACGAGGTTGTAGTCGCCGGGGACGACGAAATGGTGGCGGACACCGACCTGCGCCAGGCGTTCGGCGAGATAATCGCCAACGGTGAATTTGACGTCTTGGGCCGACAGGGCGTTGGCGGATGGTGGGTTGGTTGATGCACTTGCAGACATGTTTGTGTATCAGTGGTAGGTGTAATCGGTAGTTCAGAAAATGAAATGCAAATTGCAGATACATGGCGAGGAAATCCATGCTCTCCGGGACGCCATGTCGCCGGTTTTATGTCATTTCTGCTTCTAAGCGGTGTTGCATTGACTCGCCGCTTCCCGGTGACGTTGGCGATGTCGGGGAGGCGCGCTGATTCGATTCACCTGTAAGCCCTTGGCCAGACCACCCACAAAGCTTAAAATCCGCTAACCCCCACATCGCTTTGCACCAGAAACCTGAGGCTCTGCAGCACCTGTGGCGTGAGCAAGATTGAATACGAAAAGGATTGGGAGGAATGGCCAGAGGGGTAACCGAGTAGGTCGCATCTGGACCGCTTCCGATGTCGTTCAGAGCACCTCACTGGCACCTGGCTGGTCGGACCTTTCCCCCGCCTTGGTTGCCAGGCTCCACAAGCAGCAGCACGGGCTGCATGTTCGCCCTGCAGGACAATAAAATTATCAGATCATGGTGGGAAGATCCTTCCCAACGTGCTTGCAAATGCGACAGCAGCGGAAAAAATCGGCCACAGTCCGCGAGTGCACTCGTCATGGTCACCACACAGCACAGTCACCTCGAACTCAAACAAACACTGTAAATCAAATAATGATGGATTTTTTTATTTTTTTTTTATTTTTTTCAAACAAAAAAAAATGTGTTCCAAACATTAGGTACCGAGCAGATGGTCTATAGCGCCAAGCCACTGATACTAAACTCAGTTTCTTGAAGCCAGATACCTGCTACATCCAACAGTCCTTCGTTCGCCCGCATTTGTGCCGAATGTGCTTGAATTAGCGGTAATAAGGATAGCATACTCGTAGTTTAGTCTCTTTGGCTTAAATTTTTTTTTATAACCAAGCTCGACGTTCCCATCCTTCTTGACGTAAATTGAAATACTAATACCATGCCTACTAAGAATACTAAGTTTCCAATTCTTCTGATCAACCGCAGAAAAGGACACATCAGAGGAGTCAAGAGCATCAGGTGAATGAATCAAGTCTCTTGATGATATCCCCTTGACCCGAAACCGTGGAACAGATTAGCACTGCTGGACTAAGGTACTCGGATCCTGAGCAACCTTTCAACTCGAACTCGACTATTGTGGGTAATAATACCAATGCTACTAACATCCAGCTTTTGCGGGATGTTCTCGGGGCTTTGTAGGCAATACCTACCTACTTTAGAGGATTGGAATTCGGTCAATATACGGGTGCTGAACGTGCTTGACGGCAACCCAATTACAATGAAATGCGCGAAACTGCGTTGCAATTCCATACACAATGACCTGGTGCAGCGTCTCTGTGGCTTTTGTTGTATTTGAATTGCGTCAAAACTGTCGCGGCGTCGGCGAAAGGTAAGCGGTCAATCATGGCATGAAATTAGGATCATCAATAGCAAGAGAGTTTAGATGATCAGAGAAGGAAGCTCTATGATAGCTTCAGTTGCCAAGTCAGCCAGCAGGTGGATAGCCGCCCACGTGGACTTGATAGAGGGCCGGGAAAACCGCTAAGATGCGAGGTCAAGACCCCCCCCGATCTATGCAGTCGTGAAGTGCACTGCGGCACGGGCATCGAATGGCGTGAATTTAAGCCCTGGGAGACAGAAAATGCCAATCATCGACAACACTATGTTGAAGAAAGACGAAGGTGCATGAGAACGCATCCGAGAATCAATAATGAGGCCAACAGAAACAGGCTCGCTCTCAAAAAAAAAAAAAAAAAAAAAAAAAGAGCACTCCAAAGCAGTTTTTCCAAAGTTCTGTATCAACCCACTGCCTCAAATCTTTAGCAAGATGAACAAAAAAGTACCAGAAAGTAGCTTAAGTTTGGTAATTATAATCTTGAGCAGAAAAGAATTAAATCGGTCAACTTTTGACAAAGTTATAGTTATTGGTATTTCTGCGATTTCATTGACTGTGCCTTTTTTTTTTTTTTTTTTTTTTTTTTTTTGTTTTTTTTGGTGAGACAGGCAACATGACCTGGAGGGGATGTCGTGGCGATGTGATATGGCGAAGCATCGGAAGCCAATAAGCAGCATCAAGACGTGTGGGACAATGACTGGTAAGCAATCGACGTATGGGGTTAAATGCTGATGTGCGCTGCGATGTGCGTGATGATCGCCCGCGCCTGGCAGGTTGAGCAGAACGAGAGCATCGTTCTCTTGTAATCTTTTCTGGCAAATGCAAGCGCAGCCTGGCTTCTAGTCTGGCACTGCCTCGCTTGCAATGTGCCAAAATCAAAATCCCCGGACGAAGACCCACTGTTAATGAACTCTAGTTTTTGCATACTTAACTTGATCCCTCGACTACCCTCGTTAACAGCTGTCCAGCCCCCGCAATCCATCCCACACCCCCACTGTAATGGTGGACGTCCACAGGCTGCAGCACCTAAGAAGACCAAGCGGAATGCACAAACACATGGCAGTTTCCATCAGCGATTTTCTCGGTGCGAGTAAACAACCCCAACATACATTGCATGCAACCCACGCACCTCGCTTGCCTTCAATCTAGACATTCTGACTTAACCCTTACAACTGCCAAATCAATGCACTCGCCCTTCCCAATTTAGATTCAATTGCTTCTTCCTTTGGTCGGGCAACTATGACAGTTTTTGCGATCGTAGTCCCAGCATCCATCTTGCGACAACCACGCACCATCCAAAAAGTAAACATCTCATCATGTAGACAGTTTCCAGACCCGCAACCCATGAAAACATCTCCACAATTGGAAAACGAAAAATGGTTCTATAGTGTAGCGGTTATCACTCCGGATTCTGATTCCGGCAACCCCGGTTCGAGTCCGGGTAGGACCTCGAATTTTTTGAACTTCTGCACCTTTTCATTTTCCACACTAATCAACCTGATCAAAGGGTTTTGTGCCTCCACAAGAGACGGCTAGCCCTTGGGAGTTGGATTTTGGGGGGGGGGGGGGGTAAAAGCTTAAAACAGCCTTTAAACGGTAATTTATTATAAGAGCTGCTAATGTTTAAATCTCTCCCGTCAAAAGTTAATTTTTAATTTTCCCTCGTTTTTTTTTTTTTTTTTTTTTTCTTTTTTTTTTTTTGGTTATTGCTTTTTATCTCTTTTCCCCCCGGCATTAACCACCTGCCCTGCCAAGCCCGCTTGCTTAAACTTTTTTACTTCCCACATTTTCAATGACTCACCCCACCCACCACCGCAAGCGGCACGCACTCGCTCCACATCCACAAAAACATTTCCCGGAAACATTGAGGACGGCAAGGACATCCACAATCCACATTACATCCTAGCTTTATCTTTTGTCTTTGCAGCCCTATTCAACAACACCCACAACGGAAGAAAAAAGAAAAGCTGCATGGCGCAGCGGAAGCGCGCCGGGCTCATAACCCGGAGGACACTGGATCGAAACCAGTTGCAGCTAGTTGTTTTTGTTTTTTTATTTTTTCATCACCTTCTTCCTTATCTTCCCCCTTTTTCTATTAGTAACTCCCTCCGCCACCCAACACACACACACACACATAAGTATATATCCAGCTATACAATTCATGCGGCGTCACATTTACTACTCAAGATAGGTTTCGAGAATAAAAATATTGTCAACCAAATATTCATTATTCATTAATAAAATTCAGTTATGAGAAGATATCGAAGCCCCCTCCCCCTCCCCCCCTCCCCCACCCTTACCCCCTTCCCAAGAAAAATGCAAAAGGTGGTATAAAGCGCAATCCGAGATAAAAAAAAAAAAAAAAAAAAACCATTCCTCATCCCCTGTTCCTTAACCATTCGTAACCACTCCCGAATCCATGTCCAGCCGCTTTGAAAGAAATAAAGACTTGGAAGCCATTAAACCTCATAAACAAAACCCCCCAGTCGAATATTACTCTCAAATATCTTTCTGCCCCCCAAACGTCAGATTACTTGGCTGATGAACGCTTACCCCCCCCCCCCTTTCAAGCCTCATCCCAAGTAACCTTCATGGTGACGGGGTAAGAGACGATGCTTCCCCAGTCCTCCCTCATGTAACCGCCTGCGACCTTCTTCAGCTCTCCCTGGGGTCCTGCGACCCTCTTCAAGCCCTTGCGCCTGAACACGGCCCTGAACATCTCGGTCAGGGCGGCGTGCGTCACCTCCTTTCCGAGGAAGGCGTGGGTGCCCGAGGCGAAGTGGATGTACTTGTCCAGGGGGCGACGGGGGTTGACGGTGTCGGGTTCGGCAAAGATGTTGGAATCGCGGTTTGCTTCGGCCTGATAAAAGAGAAAAAAAAAAAGAAAATTAGCAACAGAGAACCATAGGGAAAGGGGGGAAGGAGGATGGCAAAAAAAAAAAAAAAAACGTACAGAAGTGATGGTAACTCTCTCGCCGACCTGGACGGGCACCGCGGTATTGTTGTCGGTAAACACGGTCGAGGAGCTGGTGGCCTCAAAGTGCACCTTGCTGGGCGAAGGGGACAACCGGACACCCTCGAGGGCGTAGCCGAGCAGGAGCGCATCGTTGGTCGCCGACGGCTGCTGGGATGCGAGGGCGTAAATCTCGGCGACGTGAGACAGCCCCTTGGGAGACAGGTAAAAGTCGACCGCCTTGGCGAGCTATATAAAAGATTGACAAAAATTGATTAGCCACACGGACATAATTCTAGAGTACCTAGGGAGGGAAAAGATGACTTACCAACTCTCCCTGTCCAGCAACCAAAGCAGCGGCGGCAGGCAACACGTGGCTCCAGACAATATCGTGGGCCGTCACCTTGGCGTTGCTCAGCTCCTTGATGAAGCCCGCGCCGAACCCGCTGACGGCGTCGTTCTTCTTGGCCTTGGGGCTCTTGACCGTCTTCTCGACCAGCGCCGCGAACTGCGCGCCGACCGTCTTTGCGGCCTCGTAGACGGGGAACTGCTTGACCGTCTCCAGATCGTTGAAGAGCGAGGTGGCAACGATGGAGAGGACCGCGTACAGCTCGTGCGGGGTGTAGATGGCCTTGGGGTTGGACTTGCTCTGCAGGGGGATGTTGAACATGCTCGACACAAAGTAGGTGGGGGCGAGGTTGGCCACGTCCCTGACCAGGTCGATGAACTTGGTGCCGGGCACGATGGCGAAGCTGTTATCCGTCAACAGGCGGTCGCTGACGCCCCGGTAGAAGGTCTTGATCTGCGCGCAGAGGTCCTCGGTCACTAGAGACTGGCTGATGTTTGCGCGGTGAGCATCGTGCGAGGCCGCGCTGCCCGAGGGGCCCGTCTTGCCCTTGGCGCGGATGGTTTCGATACCCGCGTGCCAGGTTGCCCTGAACCTCTCCTGCGCGGCGAGGACGGACTTCGCGGCGTTGTACGAGGTGACCTCGGTGGCGCCGTTGATGCGGCCGGGGCGCGAAAAGTCGAAGAGGTGGGCGCGCTTGAGATCCTTGAGAATCTTGTCGTTCTCGGAGGGGATGACCATGGGGTAGTGGGCGTAGACCGAGTTGTACCTGAAGTGGTTGGGGAAGGCTCTGAGGAACAGCTTGTAGAAGACGCAGCCGTGGTTGATGTTGAGGTCGTACTGAACCTCGTTGAAGCCCCAGTTGGTCAGGTTGCGGGAGGTGTAGTCGATCGTGTAGTGGCGATCGCCTCTGACGAGGCAGACGGCATCTGACAGGACCACGCGGGAGATTGTGTAGGTGGGCGCGATACCGACACCGGGGACCATGGGCTCCTTGGACTCCTCCGCAACGAGACCCGGATACAGCTCGACAAAGTCGGGATGCTCATAGAGGTTACGCAAAGCCCCGGCGACGCCAGGGTCGGCGTTGATGTCCTCGAAGCTCTCGTAGGGCTTGAGGCCGAAGTGGCGTCTGAACTCGTTCAGACCGGCAACGTTCCATCTGCGACCTTGGATGATGCCGAGAATCTCAATGGCGCGCATCGACGCGGGAACGTTGCGGGCGCCGAAAGACCCAGCGGGGTCCTCAATGGCGTCCGAGATGCAGTTGACAAGGTCATCATCGCTAAACTTGCCATCAGGGCCCCTCTCAAAGTTGTTGAAGGGCCGCTCGAGGGGATCTGCGGGCAACCGGCCTTCAAACTTTCCGAAGCCCATCATGAGCTCATGGATGGTGACCTCCTCGCCAGGCTTCTTGAACAGGTCGTAGTAAAAGTCTTGGATCCACTTGTCGTCCTTCTCCGAGATGCACGAGTGCCAGCGGTAGCACAGGTTGAACTCGGCAGACACGACGTTGCCGGTGCCGCGCTCAGCGCCCTGCTTGGTGTCAGTCGCAATGCCGGTGTCCTGGCGGGGATCAAGCGTCCAGGTGGTATCAACACGGTTCAAGTTGACAATATTTCGGACGTAGTCGAGCAGAGTGATGTTGATGTAGAGACCGCACGTGATCAGACGGGCAGTTTGGAACAAGTCATTATCGTACTTCTTCCACGCAGCCTCGGCCCTCTCGCCTTCAAGCGCGGGAGACGGAGGCGTGAACTTGTTGTCCTCATTGATCCGCGCCAGGTTCTCAGCCACGTGGTTGTGCACGCGGTTGAGCATGATCAGGAAGACGCCAACGCCAGGAGGCATGCCCAAGAGACGTTTGTCGGCAAAGCAGTCAGGCTTGATCTTGCCGTCCTTGAACGTGCGGATGGTGTCCTGCATGTCCTGGTTGCTGCCGTACAGGGGAGACAAGTCCAGGTACGACGAAGTCTTGGACTTGGACTGGTCCCGGTAGTCGGTCCAGAAGAGATCATGGATGATGATGCTTGCCCAGTACCACAAAATGCTTGATACATTGTTGGGATGCTTCTTGTACTCTGTGCGCTTCATCACAGAGTCGTAGATGAGTGCCGGGTCTGGCAGTGCGCCCGGCCGGACGACAGTGGCATTGACACTGCGTGCGTACGAGGTCCCTGCGGCGCCGAGCTGGGGGAACATGATATTCTGGAGACTTGTCAGCAAAACGATGCAGCAGCAGCAACGGAGGGGGGGGGGTCGATCTGCCGAAACTCACATTGTACGAGCCATCGGCCTGTCGGTACTGGAACTTCTCGCCAACATAAAGTGAAGGAGCAGGGTGCTCGAGCGAGTGCCACAGCTCGCCCAAGAAGGTGTTGGTAAGCTCAACCCGAGTCTTGGAGTTGCTGGGCAGGTTTGACACCAGCTGGATGACTTTCTCCATGATCATGGTCTTGTCGTTGGCCAGCTTCTCACCCTTGAGCTTTGCCTTGACCATGGCCTTGAGCGTCTTGTAATCTGGTATCTCAAGGTCAGCGACATTATTCACTCCCAAACTCTCGAAACCCGATGCGCCGCGCGTGTGAGGTAAGTAGGTAAGCACGTACCAGCCAATCGCAGGGCCGTGATGTCGTTTCTGAATTTGCCCCATTTCTCCGTCGTGCTGAAAGTAGCACCGCCTTGTTGGTTAGGCAGTGGTGCCACTGATGATGAGATCAACTGCCCATATCGTTCAAAGGCGTTGACAACGCCCTGTCGGTTTGGCCCTGTCGGCTTCAGATCAAGAGGTGATGGTCTGGGCGTCGCCTGACTGGCGAGTCTCTCCCACTTTTTGTTCTTGCCGCTGGAAGCTGACGTCGACGAGCTTCCGTGACTTGAGCCGTTGAATGTCTCGACATTTACACTGTGCCCGTTGGAGCCGGGAGAGGCTTTTTGCTCAGTCGAGAATGAAGCCATTGTCGGTATTGTGAAGTAAAGAGGATTAGAAAAGAAAAAAAAAATTAGTTCCGGCCGAGTAATGACCTATGCGCCAGCAGTGTCGTGTGCGTAAGCTGCGGGGAAAATAGATGCAGACCAGAAATATTAGGTAGGAATGTAATGTGGAATCCCGCAGAACGCTGCCGGCATGCAGAATTTTCAGAAATCGTAACTGATGAGGGGGTGCCCGGGGGTTCATATCAGACGTGCTTTTGTGGTCTGTGTGTGATATCGCCCTTGCTTGGTCCGCCATGCGATCGACCGCCCTCTCTCCCCCCTCTCCCATGACCATGACCATGACGAATCTCGCCTAGTAGATCATTATACAACATAATGATCAAGGTCGAATGGCTGGATACCGAGCACTGGGGACGCCACCATGCGAAGCAGGTGGAGGGATTCTGCCACCTCCCGTCGAATCAGATCCAGCCCTGCGCGCCCATTGTGCAGAAATCCGCTGGCCGAGCTAGTCCCAAAGCGAGGGGGTTGGGATGCAGTCACGAAGGCCTCTTGGCTCGGGTTTGACTGCACAAGCAGGACAAGTTTGGAGAAAACAGGAGAGGCCAAGCATGGCCCGTTCCACAACATGTGCGGTGTGTGGACTGTGGGTGCGGTAAATGAGATTCGCACACTCTTTTGACCCACCGGAGGAAGCCGTGCTAAGATCTGCAAGCTCTCTATCACAGCAGGGCTTGACCATGCACAGTTGTCAATATTTGCCAGGCGGGTTCGATTAGGTTATGAGAGAGAGAGAGAGAG